GTTTAATAAGAGATTGATATCGGAGATGGTTCACATAAAACGACAAACGCATGGGCTAAATAAACAAAATGACACAGAATCCTTGCCAGAATCATACCTAAATATTATCCAATCTCTTTCCCCCTCCTAACAATGTCCTTGTCTCCTTCTTTATTATCTTTCCTATTTCCTTGTTTTCTTTTTGTCATAACGTCGCTTGACGTCGATTGAGTCTAAACGTTATATTCATGCGCATCATGGCTTAATAATTTTTATTATACATAACTTTTATAAATATAATTTTGTTAACTGAGTGTTCCTATCGTTGTCTACATTACATCATTGAGACAATATGAGGTATATATGTTTTATTTAATTTACATTCTCTCTAATCTAATTTATTAAACATGTACATCGTTTATCTAATTTATAACGCAACGTTAATTTATTTATTCAGATGGTAGAATGAGTTTTGATCTCTTCAATAGTTTTAAATATGGACTGCTTTTTATGAATATAACCAAATTCTCACTGGACAATATATTTTAACTGAATTCTGATTATGTATGTAAGATGTTTTGTTGTTGTACATTGAAAATGACCCGATCGGTGTCGAAACGTTTGATTATTGTATATATATACGTTTATTAAAGATCTTATATTGTAGTTGGCTCGTTTGCTCTTGTTTATTTATTGATTTATTACTTTTCCGTTCTCATAAATGAATAAAATATTTTCGAATTTCTATAGCATCAATGAGTTCTAAATTCACTAAATATATTTATATAGAGTATTGATAAAAATCGAAGTCGAAATCCAGAGTTACCTTCATCAATTCTTCATCTATAAAAATTGCCGTTTATACCAGTTGGGTTGACATTTTCAAAAATTTTCAGAAACATTCGATTAAAATTTCTCAAGAAATTTCCTGAGAAGAAAATCGATGATGTTCTCTTAAAATGCTTTGGTAATGCCTTATTAGGTAGGCACTGGCTCTAATAACTGCTCGTGAAACTAACGATGGTGAAGCTTCCGAACTAAGCGCGCTCTTAGACTGTGTCGTCATCGAGTGGCAGCTGTTTTCATTCAGCCTCGCCCTTCTTGGTTGGCAACTTCCTCTGCAGCACTTTTAATTAACGTGCAGAAGGCACGTTTCCTATTTCATTTTTCCTTGCTCCAATTTCTTTTTGTATGAACGATTCGTATACCGAGTAAGCTCTAGGCGATTTGAAACAGTATTGGACAAATAGTATAACATGCAATATTTAAACTAAAAAATATTTAGATCACAAGATCCTAATGGAAAGTTGTACTGATATTCGATATACACAATTAATATTTGTTAGAAAACTTGGTTTTCTGGAAACGAAAATGTCACTAATTATAAAGCTATTTAAAACGCAGAATTGTGTCCAACCTTTTTTTTCAAAGGGATGTTTCACCCCTTAAACATAAGTTAGCGCACGTATAAAAAAATACGTGTCTCTTAGATTTTCGTGTTTAACAACATATTTCATGGACAAATAAGAATTAGGATCCGATCGTGTAAATATATAACATACGTTTGAGAGCGCCAATAAGCGGTCAAAGTTAGATGTTATGAATATAGTAATATATATTCTTAATTTTTTAAATTTTTAATTATCTCAGATGTGATTGTGCACCAAAACATTCGGGCATTAACCACAATCGTTAAGCGTCCACTTTAAACCTGTAGAGTGACTTTTTTTGACGGACTATCAGATTAGTCTAATATGATTGTTTGCTAAAAAAGACTCCAAAAAGAGTCAAAACGTTCAATACTTTAAATAAAGAAGACATCACGAAAAAATTGGAATTAAGTCATCTTTCCAGATATTAATATTGCGCCCTTTCTCCCGCGCTGACTCTTATTAGCCTTGAATCGGTTATATGTAAATAATTAATAATTAAAAACGATTCTTATTTTTTACTTAGATTACATATAAACAATTTTGATATTTCACAACTGTAATTAAATTATATCCAACGTTAAAAACACCGCTAATATGAGGTGCGTTTTTAAAAGCAACAGCGGCAGTGAATTTTACATTAAACCCTGCATATGTGTCGAATTTTAAAATTTTATTGCATAATTTCGAGAAGTGATGTACCAATATATGCCTACATAAATACATTTTATCGAATATACGTATTTTCAACATTTTTTTCAGTTTATTTTACGAGTCAGTTTATTTTTGCGATACATTACATGAGATAGAAATAATATCTCAAAATCAAACTGCTATTAGATTGCCAGCATATTTATTGAAACAATGTTTAGAATTTAGGATAGCACGTGTTTAACATTACTTTTATAACTTACTTGAAATGATATATAGGAGACGATCGTTTATTCTGCACAACGTTAAACGAAACATTCAGTCAAACAAGAATCGACAATATATTAGCTGCATGATGTCACACAGAGTGAAGAACCCTGTTACACGTTACACGTCCTTGAGCGGAGCGAATTATTAACTTGATGCTCAATGTGTGCAGTGTACACATATCAAAGATTCGATTAAAACATTGTATCCACAAAGTATATGTTCATTTTTTTTTACTATTTATATTCATTACACTGAGAGAAAACAAAATAGTTCCAGCAACTATAAATTTGACAACTTTTGCAATTGAAGTACCTGTAACTAGTTTTACAAAGTAATAGAAACTAAAGTAGTGCTGAATATTATAAAAATATAGTCACGGTAACAAATTGTATGCACTATTAATTGGTAGTGAAGTAGAGACTCAACTACATTGAGTAGTTACTTGAACTTCATGCAAATAGATATAACAATTACATTTTTCTAATTTAGACAAAAATTTTTAAAGAGTCGCTCAGTACGAGTAATACGCGGCTTTGTCACGTCAGAGGGACGTAGCGGAGTTCAGTTTCTCCTAAGAAGGAAACCACTCGCTTACAATAAAAGGCGCAGTGTTGGTTTCAAACTTGGAAGACAAAAATAAATAAGAAATGCATACACAAATTTGTAACTATGTATTATAAAGCTTTAATAACAACAATAAGTAAATTAAGTGAACTAAGAAAATATAGTAATATTAACCATTTATAAATTATTTATATGGTTAATGTACTATATTTTCTTAGTTCACTTAATCTAGTATTCTTATTAGAATTTAATAATATGTATATAGTTGAGGCGCTATTTCACTACAAATTTATAGTTACTGATACGACTTTTTTCTCTGAGTGTAGCTGCTCTCCCTACTCTCACACCACAAACTTTCTAAGGACAATTTCATTGCTAAAAATTTGAGCGGTAAAAGATAAAATACTTATAATTATATAGTTTCGCTTCTATAGAAACTTATTTATACAGAAACTATTCTCTCAACGTATTATAATCATGTGAACAGTTTTACGTACTAAAAACAGCTTAAAGCGAATTCATCTAGCAGTAATTCAAATATCTAAATTTGTTCCCTTAAATACGTATGCTCACCTTTTCGGATAGACCACAGGTCACAGCAATACGTTGTGCTTTCATACATGTATAACATATACGTGA